AGAGCCCTGCCTGCTCCTGCACACTGCTGCCTGTTTCCCATCCATTTAGTCTAAATCGCTTCGGGGGGACAGCAGATTTCTTTCACTCTCCCTACTGTTTCCCCCCCAACAATCCCGGAGCACTCACGGACTGGGATCGGAACTCCCAGGGGATGGCTCGGAATGTCGCGTGCCGGATCCCGGCTTCCAGGCAGCGCTGGGCCAAGACCCGACCGATATTCTCGCAGGCCGAGACGCCGCAGGTGGGGCCCAGGTGCTTCTTCACGGCCCACTCCTGCGTGGAGGCGGAGACGACGGGGCGGGAGAGGGAGGCGGGGTCGCCGGACAGCACCTGGGCGGTGACGTGCTTCTGGGAGCGGGAGAGGACCACTCTGGGAGAGGCAGAGAGAGACAGAGGACACCCAGCTCTCAGCCGGACGCTGTACTATCAAGGGGAACGGCCGTCCCCGTTTCTCAGACCGGATATTACCAATCGTGGCAACAAAATAAATTCATTTACAGTGCAGATAGAAAAAAGACAAATTTTGAACTGAAGCACAGAACCATGACCTTTGCGAAGGTCCCGTAATTCGCCATGTTGTCACACACGTCAGTTCAGTTCAGTTGCGACGTGTTGTGGCCCTTCCTGCTCACTAGTCACGTGAGGACTAACATGACGTCACGTGCCAGGGAGAATAAGTACAGGTTAGGTGCAACGAGTGCAGCAGAAATGTTCCAGCATGATCCGCATGCAGAGTTAACAAGTAGTGTGTATCAGCAAAACCGTCTCGAAGTCAAGAGCAGTAACTCTATTGGATTGCAAGAGATGTATTCACAAGCCTGCTTGTTTATGCGTATGTGTGGGGAGCGTTCTGGCGCACTATGGCTGCCGTCGCATCATCCAGGTGGGGCTGCACATTGGTGGTGGTGGGGAGTCCCCACTACCTGTGAGTGGAGTGTCCAGAAAAGCACTGTATAAGTGTAAGCAATTATTATTATTATTATTTAGAATTTAATAAGGCCGCATCATGTCACAGGACCTTTTTTCACCTCTGAATAGCAAACTATGTCCCTACACATACCTGGGAATCTGGGTTTGTTATGTGATGTAAATTAGGGGTTTAATTTTCTGGGTACATTTTACTTTTACTGCAGTTTCAAATGCACTCTTAAAAACCGATTCTTTCTAACCCCAGAATAGAAGAACAGCCTTGCAGCTCCCCTTCTGTTCCTCCTTCAGACCGTACCTGTGCCAGTGCTGTCTGGAGGGCCACACGGTGCGCCAGCCCCGGTCCTTCACTGCCAGGGCCAGCAGCTCCAGGTTGCGGGGATTCCTGTTAATGAACTTCTCACTAACGACCTCGTTATCGTTGTCAAGAACAGCACTTGCAGAGGCGGGAGCAGCTATGCTTGACAACCGCACATCTGTAGAGACAAGAACAAAAAGAGGTTAATACACTCCAGTATATTAACACTGCACTGAGAGAGAGGGGTTAATACAGTCCAGACACACTGACTGGACACTACAG